CAGCATGGCTTAACAGAAATTCCCTAACAGATCAATCTTGTGTGATGCTGTATAGCAGATGTCCAGGACCTCATCTCCCACAACTGAAACTTCATACCTGTTATACAGCAACTCACTTCAGAAATGATTTTTTGGTTGTTTATTTTTGAGACTGTAATTTAATTACAACATTTTTCCTTTTCCTCCCTCCATGCTGTCCTATATACCCCTCCCTTCCTTCAAATTCATGACTCCTTTTTTCAATAATGGTTATAGCATGCACATATGTGTTTGTATATATTATATATTCCTAAATATAACCTAATTAGTTCATAAAATGTCACTCTTATGTCTGTTTAAGGTGTCTTAAAAAGGAAGTGTAGGAGACAAAAACAAAGATATACTAGAGGAAATTTTAGTTTCTGAGGGCTTTGTCTACAGGAACATCAGGCATAACTGAACACCTCGCTAAGACCTATATAAACACCTCTATAAAACCTCACACTGAAAATCAAGTAACTGTATCCTAAATGCCACAGACCACACAGTTCTTGGACAATTATGGAAATAAACTAAGCATTCACAAAATGGTAGTGACAAATTTCCTTGCAAGGTCAGCTATATATAGCAAGTGATATCTATAGTTTCCCCTTTGCTTATGATCATGTCTTACTGAAAAGACCCAGAAATGTAAGAAAGAAAGTGAGTATGAATCCATTTGCGGTACTATTTTAGACACATGAATATACATTGTACTGAATTTAGGCAAGTATGGCTTCAGAATCTTAATGAAGGCAGGATACAGTTAAGTACCTTTAAGAGTTGTGAAAATGTCAATTAAGTAAAATCTAAGCAAACAACACCAAGCAAATGCTTGCCCCGAATCTCTGAAATATTGGGATGTCAACCCAGGGATTTCACAAAGACAGTCAGGGTCTGTGGTGGACCCAAGACTCTGAGTTTGGTACCCAGCCCCCACATAAAAGCTGGGCACTGCAATGAGGGCCTATAATTCTAGTGCTGAAAAGCAGAGACAGATAGGTGAATCCGTGCTGCTCAACTGGCCAGCTAGTCTAGTAAAGTGGGACAGATTAGTAAGCTGTCCTGGCCTCCAAACAAAGCAACAGCAACAAAAAGGTGGAAAGGGATTAAGGAAGATACTGATGCATCTCTAGCTTCCATACAGATACACAATCACTCATGTGCATATGTGCACACATGTAAACATACAGAGAGAGAGAGAGACAGAGACAGAGACAGAGACAGAGAGATGGAGAGAGAGACACAGTGAGAGAAGAAGGTATCTATGCCATGGGCAAGTGGATACTATTTATTTTATAACAATTTCACATATTTCATATTATTTCTCTATTTTGAAATTAGAAAATGTTACAACAAGTGTGTTAGGGTTGCCAGGACAATAACAGCATGCATGTATCAGAGCTGATTCTTACTGGAGAAGTCTCAGTTACATGCCTGTATGTTGTAGGATATTTCTATACTGTGTGAAGATGTGTTGCTGTGATTGGTGTAGTAAAGAGCTGACTGGCCAATAGCTGGGCAGGAAGAGGTTAGGTGGGACTTCTGGGGACAGAGAGGATTCTGGGAAAAAGGAAGGTGGAGTTGCCAGTCAGAGGAGAGGAAGCAGGAGGTGCAAGATGAAAGATAGGTAACACCATGTGGCAGAATATAGGTCAATATAAATAGGTTAATTTAAGTTATAAGAACTAGTTAGGAACAAGCCTAAGCTAAGGCTGAGCTTTCATAATTAATAATAAATCTCTATGTCATTATTTGGGAGCTCAAGACACATTACATATGGTGCCCAACATGAGAGCACATATTTCCACATAGGACCCAAGAAAACTTTTTTAAAAAGTTCCAAACACCCAAATGTGGAGCCAGACTTGGCTTCCTAGTCCCACAGTCTCTCAGACAGGTCACAGCATACAGAGATACAGCTCCCAGCAGCTGCCTGTGGGCTTGAACCAGCCTGCACCATGTGTAGAGCCATGCAGTGGGTTTAAGACTTGGCTCATGCAGTCAGAGAAGGCTGCAGGCACACAGTAAAGCAGTCCAGACCACGAAAACCTTTGAACTGATACAGTAAAAAATGGCCATAGACAATTATAAAAAATAGTTTAAAAATAAATAATGAAATCTTTTAAAAAATTAGGTAATATAAAAATAAAAGCCACATAAGGATGGGAAATGCACAGGGTGTCTGCTTTGTTGACTCTGAATTTTTAAAATTCTAATGACCAAAAAAAGGACAGCTGCTGAGAGATGTTGGATTGTGGAAAAAACTGCTAAATTAAACCAGCCTATGCTAAATTAAACCCTTCCACATGCTGTGACTATATGCTGCTCTCATTAGTTGATAATACAAGCTGCTTTGGCCTATAGTGAGGCAGAATATAGCTAGGTGGGAAAGCCAAACTGAATACAGGGAGAAAGTAGGCAGAGTCAGGGTTGATGCCAGGCAGCTGCTGGAGGAGCAAGATGTACTATAGCACAGGTAAACCCATGAGACACTCAGAAAAATCTAGATGAATAGAAATGGATTAATTTATAAGTAGAAACTAGTTAGTAATAAGCCAAACAGTTTGTAATTAGTACTAAGCCTCTGAGTGATTATTTAGGGGCAGGAGAAAGAAACCTATGTACAAGGCTATACATTTTAACAATGTCTTTACTTTTGCCTTTGTATCCACAGGAAAGAAAAAGCTATAGATCTTTCCAAAATTAATAAAGATCAGATTTGATTGGTGTGGGGACCTCCTGAGGATCTTGGCTGCAGATGTGAAAGATAAAAAGGTCAAGAAAGACTACAAGACAGGTGATGTATATTCTGATTCCTCAACTATTGGAAACAGCTCTGATACTGGATAAGACATGATAAATCTTGTTGGCTGCAGAATCCTCATGAGTTATTATTGCATACCATCCCTTCGTACGGTGTGGATAGAGGTTTGGTTATACAGTATAAAGGGACTTGTAAAGTTGGCAGATGCCTTTTGCCTCCTCAAACAGAAAACAGAAAATTATCTTTAGCTTATGTGTGCACACCACACATTCCATACTTCTGTTAGTACAGATATAAATGTTACCTTTAAAAGTTTGTGTGTTTTCAGAACAAAATGACCAGACACCAATAGAGACAGTAGCCCAGGTGATCCAGCCTCTCAGAATGCCTCTGTTGCAGTTTCCTCAAAATTCTGCATCCAGAACAATTTCAATGCTACTAGCTGAGATGCTTCAGCCTCACAGACTATTCTAGCCAGGACTTCAGATGAGCTCTACACTTTCCCATCACATGGACACTGAACTAGATAATACAGCTAGCTTTCCTAGGACTTGACCATATCCCAATTTTCTCAGGGTCCCCTAAAGATGCCTTTGCCCCCAGACAACAGGAAGCAGATTAGAGAACATGACCACTACATTTTTGGTTGTTTGGTGGGTATAATGTTTAGGGGGTTGGTTACAAGTTTTTATTAGTCATGGTCAGGAAAAAAGTTGAACAAAGGAGATTAGATTCAGGGATTTTGTTCTGAAGGGAAAGGGGGAGATATAGTATAGAAATGATGGGATAAAAGGGTAGATTGAGTCTACTTTTGAACAATTACTAGTCTCAAATATTTTACATTGGTATGGATTTTTGTATATTAACACAAATTTAAGGCTATTTTGTTATACTTTATATATATTTCTACTCTTGTTTAGGGTATTATACATATGTGGCTCATTAAAAATGTAATATAAAGTTTTAGTCCTTGAAAGCTATTTAGGATAATAAAGACAGGTTAGTAGTTATTTATCTGTAACAATCAAACTTATTCTGATGTTAGGTATGTTTTCAAGGTCAAACAGAGATATATTTTAAATAAATAGTCTTCAAATACTTCAAAGGTCTACAGAATAGGGCATTAAAATGTTTTAATAACATAAGGCTTTTCATGAGAGTGAGGTATGTTTGCTCCTGGGAGCACCAACTTACTTCAAAAAAGGATACTGAGCATTGAAGAACTTCCATATGGAGTTTGCTTTCAATGTTGCAAAGCTAGCCATTTGGGCAAGAAACTTCCCTTGCCTCGATTGTTGACAGTATGCTGTCCAAATTGGACAAGCAACACAAACGTTGCCAATGCTAGGTAGGATAGTCCTTCAAAATTCCTGCTTCACAGAAAAATCTGTCAGATAGTCTAGGCCTTAAGTTGAAAATGGATGCCTCAACTTTGCAGAGGAACTTGGGGTGACTGTCCAGGTAGTCAGATGTTTCTGTCATTCCTGTAGTTTTGGAAGCTGCTTGATCTGCACTTACTGTTTACTTAGGTAATATTATATCCTTCTCAGGTCTCTGATGGAGTTGAAGACTAGGTAGTTATAGTTACAGTTTTCCTTCTGATAGAAAGTAAATTAGGTACAAATCTTTGTAGTTACCAATAGAGGATAGATAATAGAGTATTTTTTCTGAATTTGCCAAATGCAAATGGACTGTACATTGTGAATATAATTCTTACCTGGTAATTGTTCTTACTCTATATGGTTTTACTGTGTCTGAGTTAAAATCTTCCCATAGACAAATTCCCCCCCTTAGACAAAAGGGGGGAATGTTGTGGGATATTTCTGTACCGTGTGAAGATGTATTGCTGTGATTAGTGTAGTAAAGACCTGAATGGCTAATGGTTAGGTAGGAAGAGGTTAGGTGGTGCTTCTGGGAACAGAGAGGACTCTGGGAAGAAAAAAGGTGGAGTTACCAGCCAGAGGAGAGGAAACAGGAGGCGCAAGATGAAAGAAAGCTTATGCTATGTGGCAGAATGTAGATCAATTAAAATGGGTTAATTTAAGTAATAGAAACTAGTTAGGATTAAGCCGAAGCTAAGGTCAAGATTTCATGATTAATAATATGTCTCTGTGTTGTTATTTGTGGGGTGGTGGTCCTGACTAGAAAGTACTGTTACACCTGTATGTTACATAGGAGATTGTGGAGCTACATTATCTGGGTTCTCTCTTAACAAAGCAGGGTACATATGGCTCTGCCTTCATTAACATGGCAACAGCAAGCAATGGTTTCTAGTCTTTCAGAAGTCAGAGCAGATGTCCACTGTCATTTATTTACCCTTGTGGTGTTGGAGATTGAAACTATGGCCTTGTTCATGCTAGGAAAATGTTCTACCACTGAGCTACATCTTCCAGCTTGATTGTGGATCTTAATGTTAGCAAGGATTATAGCTAGTTTATCTCAAAATGATTATATATTTCAAAGTACAGTCTAAGATGTCCAAATTTTCAATTTTTTTCTTTGAATGTGGTAATGATGTATAATTTTCAACAATGAATCTTAAAATATCTTTTATTTATATTCCTATTAAATTTCTTGCTCATGCCTCCACTCTGTATGGCTCCCAGTAAACTCCTATGTCTCATAATGATCCTCTTGCTCCTGATTTGTTTTCCTCCTCTCTTCATTTTTCATCATTCAACTCAAGAATGGGTTTAGTCAAGCAGAACCCAGGAGGGAGGTAGTCATAGGATACTGAAGTAAGAAAAGCTAAAAACTCTCTTCAGTACTGGAGGGACAGGAAACGCTGGTGCATGAAAAACATGTAGCCAGTCATAAGAGAGACAACTTTGCTAGAGGTATTTTAAGTACTTCTTAAAATAGTCGACTGATCTTAACAAAGTATGCAGTTGTCCTAAGATTTGTGGTTGCAATTTTGATGGTTATTCAAAGAGATTTCTGTATAAAAGCACCTTGACTAGAGTTAATAAATACAAATGAATAGACTCACATGTGTTTTGAAAGAAGGAGAAAGGCTAGTGTTTATGTTTGACAGTCTAACAAAAGAATGTGAGTGTGATTTCTAGTTCTCAGTACAGAATTAGTTCAGAGGCAGTAGATTCTACTCAGGGTTATTCTCGGAAATGGTTGATTCTTGGCTGTTCCTTGTGAGTATAGCAAGTATTGCCTGTTTGAGGGTGTCCTCATGTATCCCTCATGAGAGCTCATGATACACAAAGTGACACATCAAATACTAATTCTTTTATGATATTTTTTGAACCTGATACAAACCCAATAAATCATCTATTTCCATACCACAAAGTACCAAATGGATACTTCTAGGCCAATAAGCCTGCAGACAGATAGATGCACACAAATGCATCTAACAACCTAACTTCTGTTTAGCAGACATCAGATAGTCTTCCTTAATGTGTTGAGAACAGCTTCAATTACTCATCAAGTGTTCTAAGCAGGGTAGCAGCCATTCGTGCCTTGAAAGAGTGTGACTGTAATGGAAATTTGGCAACTGACTGCATGTTATCTGTTGTTTTAATACAACTGACTAGGTGATTGCAAAAGGCTTATTGAGACCACAGTTTGGAAGCTGAGACTTCAAGAAAGTGGTGCTGGCATGGGTAAGGGTCTTTTATTGAATCAAAACATGATAGAGGCCATCATGTGATGAGACTTCTTATAAAGCTACTAATGCCATCAAAGGGTTCCTCGTATAAGAGCTTATCCAATCCCAATTACTTCTTTATGACCCCACACACACTGTTTACCTATGAATTTTCACCATATAGCATTTAGGGGTTTCTACTCAGACTAGAGCAGTAACTGATCCTCATACCAATCATTTAGTTGTTGCCAATGTATTTTCCCAGAGTATGCACACTTGTCTACCAGTTCACTGTGACAGAAAGCTGTTAATTTTTGAATTCTTCCCTTCAGTACTGGAGGGACAGGAAACACTGGTGCATGAAAAACACTTTTACTGTTTTTACTGAGAAACATTTACTGTTCAGTCAGTTTGAAGCTGAGAACCCACCATTTCATTGCTATATCACTAGGTCATGAAGTTAGCTTCTTAGTTTAAGTCATAATTAAATTATAAGACTAATTATAACGTCTACATACTATAGTGTCTTCAGTTGTAATTGGATGTGCTTGCTTTACCTACACTGGGTTGGCACAGTAAGAATAGACGTTCTGTGCAGAGGTTCCCATAGGGCATCCACTAGGGGAAGAGGACACAGTCCTATAGGTCATCATTGTGATTCAGTGTCAGGGGTTGGAAGCAAGGAGTTAATTAGAATCTGCCTTCGATGAACTTCAAGCTCATTTTCATGAGATTTTTCACCTGTCTTAGCAGTTCTTGATATAGTGTGTTTTGTGAAATGCATTAGGTATTCAGTGAAGCTGTTTTCAGGCTTATTATGCAATATTCTGATTATGATTCATGAAAATATTCCATTAAATACAATCACTACATAATTACTGTGCTTAATCTACAACATAATTAACATTTTCATGGAATTCTGATTTAATCAATTAGTTTTTATCCAGTGTAACTTAGGTGTAAATACTTTTTATGATGCAACACCCCCAAATAATCATCAAGAACTGAGATAATATACAACTTTAAGTAAAAGTAACACATTTCCTATTTTATGTTATGTATGTCAAAATTTGAATGATAATGTTGTTATTTAAAAAGGTAAGTTATAAATAGATCATTCTACCTCTTCTAATAGTCTTTTAACACTTGATTGTGGTGCTTTAACTTGAATTGTACATATGCATACCTCAGTGTGACCATCTGTTGGAGATAGGGTTATTGCAGATCTATTTGGTTAGGTGATGTCATACTGGAGTAGGCTGCATGATCTTCTAGTGTTTTCTTTCTGTTGCTGTGGTAAAACACTCTGACCAAAACCAGTTTGGGGAGGAGGGAATTAATCATAGTGAAAGGCTACACACTGACTTGCTCCCTGGTGTTTATGCTCAGCTAGCTTTTTTATGCAACCCAGGACCACCTGCTTGGAGATGGTACCATTAACAGTGGGTGGGAACTCCTACATAAGTTGGCAATCAATACAATGCCCCCATAGACATTGTATAGGCCAATTGAATGAAGGGAGTTCTCAGTCACCTCTTCCCAGGAGTTTCTAGTTTATATTAAGTGACAATAAAAGAACTAATGAATACAACATAATTAGTGTTCCTGTAAGAACTGGTTCACATGTAGGTAGAGACATACAATGTGAAAGGTTAGAGTTATGCAGCCAAGAGTCAAGCAGTTCTAAAGAAAATAGCCGAAAAATGACCAGAGAAGATAAGAAGGGACAAGGGGTGTCCTTGACATGTTAGAGGGAACACAGTCCTACTGGTGCTTGATTTTAGAATTCTAGCTTCCGGAACCATGAGATAATGCATTTCTATTGCTTGAAGGCCCCCAATTTGTAGTACTTTATTATGGTACTCCTAAGACACTTAAACATTTGCTAAAACTCAGCAGAAAAGTAAAACTTAATGTAATCAGTATTATAAAATTCTTTATACTAGTGTATGTATGGGGGGTATTTTACTAAGAACTTTTAAAATGCATGTTCTATTTATAGTTGAAGAAAATGTTATATTCTTAAGCAAGAATTGGCATAAATGTAAGATTTCTGTTCTTCACACACAGCACCTAGCAGAGTGTTTTGAACAGAAATCATCCCTCCATACATTTTGTGGCTTAGTTTAAAAATATTAAATATGAAAATAGTCTACATATTAAAATACCTACTTAAAGTACCTGAGGCATAAAATGTGTACAGTATTACTGAAATGTGGGAGTAATCATGGGTAAGAATTTACATGAATTTCATCAAAACTATTTCATTCTGAATCTACATATGGATAGAAAAGAAACTTGCTGCTGCTGCTGCTGCTGCTGCTGCTGCTGCTGCTGCTGCTGGTGATGGTGATGGTGATAATGGTGGTGGCGGTGATATGATGCAGATGATGATGAAGAAGAAGGTGATGATGATGATTTTGTGTGTGTGCCCTTCTTTGGCCTTTGAAAAAGTATTCTTAGCACTTCTGCTGTGTGACAGCAAGAATAAATAAAATAATGTGAATATCTAGTTCTTGGTATTTACTTGCCAACTGTTTTTACTATATTGGGTTTGGTAAGGCTAGACAACAAATATAATGAAGAATGAATTTTGAGGTTTGTCTGTTTATTTGTTGTGCTTTTTTCCTCCTCAATAATCAAGAGGTGATTTTTGTCAAAGGGGTGGTGTTATTTGATGGACTGACACCAGTAAAAGGTCTGAGCTCCCAACCAAAGGCGAGAGCTTCCTGGCATCAAGAATCCATATGGGCCACTAGACAAGACATGCTGGTGGAGTGTCTCTTGTCAGGCTCTTTGAGAAATACTTTTTTCCATCCCTGGAGTTTTTGTCAGCCTTCTTCACTCCAATTGTGCTGGCTATTTTGGCTTGTACCTGTTCTACTGGTAGAAATTTAAAAAACAAGTGCACCCTCTGACCTCTCAGCCACTCCTGAGTGTTTGCTTCTGGAGGGTTGTATTTCTTCTCCACAGAACCAAGCCTATTTTATCTAAAACTTGTCCTATCAATATGTCTCTGGAATGATAAAAAGAAAAATTAGCTTGGTGGCACACATATTAATTCTGACATCAGGGAAGCAGAGTCAGGAGGGTTGTGAATTTCAGGCCACCTTGGCCTACACAGCAAAGCAAATCTCAAAAACAGAGTGAGTAATGATGACTTGGCTTTTAAAATATTGTTTTCCTTCAAAAGAAGTATATGCTTTTATATGTGCATTTCCTAATTAAAAAATAACTGGTCTTGTTTTCTGTGACTCTTCTTCAAGAAGCTCATGTTGACACCCTCAGGTATGTTTTATATTATTCTTTGTGCTGCTCTTCCTCTTAATCCTTCTGCTTAAGCCTATATTAAAATATCTTTATTAACTCTCACCTCAAATGAAAGTTTATTTAATAACGTGAAGCATATCCTAAACACAACAGTCCTTCATTCCATCCTGTATTATTTCCTGTTCTCTTTCATTAGTCCAATAATTTTTAATCTTTCCATTCCTTTTAAAATTTACATTCTTTTCTCTTACTTATGTGTGTGTATGTTTCTGGGCACATGAATGTATACACACACATGCATGCATGCCACAGTGTACATGTTGAGATCAGAGGACAACTTGTGAGAATTAGCATTTTCCTTTCCCTATGTGAGTTCCTCGGATTGAACTCAGGCAGTCAGGCTTGTTGCAAGTCTTATCTGCTGAGCCGTCTCACTGGTCCTATTTTTTTTTCTTGATTTTTTTGGCTTTAGAGACTATCTGACTTCCTTCTGTGGTGGAGGAGGAAAACTGAGCTATTTTATGCCCCCATCTCACTTGCATCTGACTTCTTCCTGTCCTGGTGGATTTATGTCTGGCACTGGTTGACTTTGTATTACTGAGAACTAAGTCATGCAGCATTCTAGGATAGCTCTTTAAGAACAGCCTCACCCCCTTGGGGGCCAGTTTAAATACAGGTTTTGCTTGCTTATTTTTCTATTCTTTTATTGTGAGTTCAACCACAAGTTCTGTACAAGCTAGCATTTTCCTGAAATATTTGGGTGTATTTCACAATGTATTGTCATGATCATTCATCTGAAACCTTGGCTCTCTTCTGAAGATGGGGTTTCTGTCCAACTGGTCCCACAGCCACTTTGCCCGAATAAGCACACAAAGACTTAAATTAATTTATAAACTGTTAGTGGATGGCTAGGTCTTCTTACTGGCTAGCTTTGTCTTATTAACCCATTTCTATTAATCTAAGTATTTTCACATGGTCTTATCTTACCGGAGATGTGTCCAGACCTGTTACTCCTTCCTTGGCTACATGGCATCTTCTCGTGGCACCTCTATGCCTCTCTCCTCGACATTCTCCTCATCTCCTAGCTTCACCTATCTTCCTGCCTCTACTGGCCTATCAGTGTTTTATTCATCAACCAATAAGAGAAACATATATACAGAAGAACATGCCCCATCACTCTTCCTTCTATTTAAGTTAATTCTTCCGCAAGTCTGTTGCAAAGCTGCTCCCCGAGATCTTGGCATTTTACTCCACACCTGTCTCCTATGTTGGATTCTGCTTGTGCTTCTTTTATTATCCCTGTAACTAAAAAACAGACACAGCAAAGGAGCAAAGATTTATTTTGGCTCGCAGTTTCAGAGCTGTCATCCTTGGCCTTGGTTCTGTTGATTCTGAGTCCATGGCAGGGTAGTGCATCATGGCCAAAAGGTACCTGATGGAGCTTGAACTTTTTCACCTCATGGTGGCCATGAGACTGAGACTGGGAAGGGTCAGAGACACAACAGCCCTGACACACCCCCTGCCCCCCCCCCCCGACTTCTCCTGCCTGCTGACATACCCCCTCCAGGGAAGCACCACTCCTGAAGTTTCATTGACTTCCAAAATAGTGTCAGCAGCTGGGGAAACATTCCCCTAACAGATGAGACTTTTGAGGGTTCATTTCAGATCCAAACACGATTCTACATTTTTGAATCCTACATCTCTTTTGGTCTATTCCTGCTAGGAATTTCCAGGAGAAAGGCAAAT